TATGTCAGCCATGTATAATAAAGCACAGGACGAGAGAGATGAAATAGAGAAGAAACTTTTCAGTCTGCAAGAAGAATTTGGCAAAAACAGATGAGACTCAGGAGCTGCTGTGTTGGTCCAGTCTCTCTGGTAAGCTGAGGATCCTCAAAGAAACAGTTTCAGGGTCATGATTAAATCAAAGCTGTGACTGTTATGTCCTTTGAGACCCTTTTAGCTAAACAAGATAGCTCCTAAGAATCTTATGAGTGTTTTCCCATAATACTCTAGCATTCCAGAGAGAAGTTTGTATGAATTATGATTTAGCTTTTGAAGGGCATGTAAAGAACTTCAATCCATCTTATAGAAAACCTGAAGTTTTTAAGGGTGGTGTACTTTGCTAAACATATACGTACAACATTTCAAAATGAAAAAGGCCTCTAGGTCCCCAACTTTGAATAAGCAGGAAATAACTAAAAACTTGGGAAAAATGCTGTAGTCTTAATTTCCAACACATGTATATATTTTTTAGTCCCTTTTTATTCTCCTGGATCCCTACCGTAAATGACATTCACATAAACTATTCTAACCACTGGAGGAAATTAAGCCATACAGTCAGATTTTTTTCCCTCAAATCGGAAGATCACCATGCTAGAAGTCAGGAGTGACCAGTTTGACTCCCAGCTGAGACCCTAATTCTGAGACACTGGCCAAATCATTACACTCTCTGAGTCTGGTTTTTTTAAAAAAATCTTTAAAAGGATTAGGCCAGTATTGATGTTACAGAAAATAGTAGATTAAGACCCTCAGAGAACTGGTCCATCCACTTAAGTACCCAATGCAAAAGTTCTGAAAAAAAAAAAAAATACTAGCAAACTGAATTCAGCAGCATATCAAAAGGATTATATACCATGACCAAGTGGTATCTATTCCTAGGACACAATGATAGTTCAACATATGAAAATTAATCCATATAATACACTACATTAATAGAATGAAGGAAAAAACCTACATGATCATCTCAATTGAGACAGGAAGAGCATTTGACAAAAGTCAACATTTTTTTCATGGTAAAAAACAATAAACAAGGAATAGAAGAAAATTTCTTCAACATGGTAAAGGCCATATGTAAAAAAACTCACAGCTAATATCACACTCAATGGTGAGACTGAATGCTTCTTCTGTAAGACCAGAAATGAGAAAAGGATGTATATCTATTCAACAGTATTTGAAGTTCTAGCAGAGCAATTAGACAAGAAAATGAAATAAAAGACATACAAATTGGAAAGGAAACAGAATTATCTCTATTCGCAGATGATCTGAAAATCTCAAATAACACACACACACATACACACAGTACAGCTAAAATGAATTGTAAACAGTATAAATATAAAGTATAAATAAACAGAATAAATGAAATGTAAACAATACAGCTAAAAAATGAATTCTACAAAGTTTCAAGTATAAGATCCACACAAAAATCAGCTATGTTTCTATACACCAGCAACAAATAATTTTATACGGAAATTAAGAAAACAATTCCATTTATAATAGCACCTGAAAGAACAAAATACCTAGGAATAAATTTGACCAAGGAGGTGAAAGACTTGTACATTGAAAATTATAAAACATTGCTGAAAGAAATTAAATGTTAATAAATGAAAAAATATCCTGTGTTCATGGATTGGTAGACCTAATGTTATTAAGATGGCAATATTCCCCCAAAGTTATTTACAGATTCAATGCAATCACTATCAACATCCCAATGGCCTTTCCAAAATGTAAAAACCAATCTCAAAATTCATATGGAATTTGATGGGACCCCTAATAGCCAAAACAATCTAGGAAGAGAACAAAATCGGAGGACTCATACTTCCAGATTTCAAAACTTATTACAAAGCTACAGTAATCAAAACACTGTGGTACTGACACACATACACACACACACACCCTAACTCACACCATATACAAAACAACTCTAAATGGATCAACAACGTAATATAAGAGCAAATACTATAAAACTCTTAGAGAAAAACACATGGGTAAATCTTCATGACCTTGAATTTGGCAATGGATTCTTAATTATGACACCAAAAGGAGAAGCAAAAAAGAAAAAATAAGTAAACTGGACTTCATCATAATTAAAAACTTCTGTGCAACAAAGGAGATTATCAAGAAAGCAACAGGACAACCTGCAGAATGGAAGAAAATATTTGTAAATCATATATGAAGTCTAGTTATCTATAAAGAACTCTTACAATTCACAATAAAAAAAAAAAAAACTTTAAAAACGAGGCATAGAGTGTGAATAGACATTTCTCCAATGAAGACATACAAATGGTCCACAAGCAAATGAAATACTTACTGGTATGACTACACTACTACTAGTAATAATGATAATAATAATAAAAAGAAAATAGTGTTAGTGAGGATGTGGATAAGTTGGAATCCTCATACACTGCTGATAGGAGTGCAAATGGTTCAGCCACTGTAGAAGACAATTTGGCAGTTCCTCAGAAAGTCAGACATAAAATTACCGTATGTCCCAGCCATTCCCCTCCTAGGATATACCCCAAATAATTAAAAACAGGTACCAAAACAAACACATATACATTCATATTCACAGTAGCTCTAGAAACTATAGCTAAAAGGTAAAAACAACCCAAATATCCATCAATAGATGAGTGGATAAACAAATTATGGTGTGTGTGTGTGTGTGTGTGTGTGTGTAATGAAGATTATTTAGTTATAGAAAGAATGAGGTACTGATATGAATTGTTCACTTTCAAATGGTTAACTATGTGAATTTCACCTCAACACTAAAAATCAAACAAACAAAAAGGACTAGGCCAGATGATCTCCAAAATTTCTTTAAGGTTTATAATTACAATTTGATAATCAACTATTTCTTATTTTCTGGACACAAGGTAGAAGGCATTAAAAACACCGTTAACAATCAGTTTCTTAATGCCCTACTCTTGAATATGGAGGGGACAAACAAGGATCATTAGACATTTAAGAAACACTTCCAAAAGGAAATACAAAGATCAAAATTAATTAATGGGAAAAAAAAGGTCTTGGGAGACAATGAGGGGACAGAACTTTAGGAAAACACTAATTCATATGGATCCACAGGATTCACGAAAAGGTGATCAGCACTCTTGGAAGTTAAAACCATAACTGCCAACATGAAAGTTTTCTCAATGTTTCTCAATAAAAGAAACATTGAGAAAACTCCCAGAAAAGACTATAAATTAGATAGAAGATAGGAGATAATATAAGGAAAATGGCGATCTAAAAGGTGTAACATCTACTAAGACTTTGAGAAGAAATCAAAAAAAATTTTTAAAAATTCCCTTAATGCTGCAGGACATGCATCTCTAGGTTGAAAGGGTTCGCTGACTGCCTAGTAGCAAGAATGGTTGGGGTTGGAAATTCTAAGACATTATTATGACATTTTATAATAGCAGGACTAAAACGAAGCTCTTAAAAATTTCTGGGAACATGGAGGTGGGGTAGGAAAAAAATCTAAAAAAGAACACAGATGGAGTCTATCTGATTTCTCCACAACTTGGATGGCAGAAGACAAGAGAGCAATGCTACAAATAAACTATATCCAGGGCCGGCCAATGGCTCACTTTGGAGAGTGTGGTGCTGATAACACCCAAGGACATGGGTTCAGATCCCTAAATAGGGATGGCCATTTAGCTTACCTGGGAGAACATGGTGCTGACAATACCAAGTCAAGGGTTAAGATCACCTTACTGGTCATCTTTAAAAAAACAAACAAACAAAAAAACTATATCCAGTTGAACTGTCAATCAAGTATGAGCTATCAGATTTGTAGAGATTAAAAAATTAATCTGTAATTCTTCCCTAAGAAGTTACTTCATCATAAGCTCCAGCAAGAAAGAGGAAAGAGAGCCATCACACAGTGGCTTTCTAACAAAAATATTAAAGAAAGTCCTAGAATGTGAAATAGTATGCCAGATGTTTGAAGCAGAACTAATGGTTCCAAAATGAAGGTTTCTGAGAAATGTGAGTTGACTGAAGAAGCATCTGAAAAGATTAAAGCTATGATAATTACAAGATAACAGCACAAGAAGAAAAAAACAAAACAAAACAAAGTCTTCAAATAAAAATGTACAGGCTGAACAAGAAAGAAAATGTATCATAGTGCAGGACTTGGCACAGGAGAGAATAGTGAGTCATCATAATGCAAACCCTAATGAACCAAACAGAAAGTAGTACATACTACATAGGAAAGATAGGAGTGCGGAATTAAGGGTATGAATGAATCAAATTTCATATATGAGAAAGTAAACAGAAAATGTAAATTGATTTATCAAAAAATATCAGTATAGCCATATAATTTAGCAAACGAGATAAAAATGGCTAAAAATGTAAAAGTAATTACTTCTAGGGGGCAAAAGTGAGAAATAGGACAGGAATTTTGTGGCATATTATTTAATCTACAAAATAACCCTATGAGGTAGTTCCTATTATTACTCCCCTTTAAACATGAGAAAACTGAGGTTCAGAGTTTATGCAACTCATCCAGGGTTAGTTAAATCCAAAACTGAAGTCAGGCATTCCAATGCCAAGGATCACAACAGATTGCCTTTAACTATGCAAAGCTAAGAATTCAACTGATGTTTTTAGGTTTCCAAGTTTCATTGTTCTTTTTAACTAAGAAAATTATTTCAGTTTTCTGTTTGATTTACAAAAGTACACGTGGACACTGACAGGATGGATTATAAAACAGATACAAGAAAAACTATAAGCAACAATATCCAACATTAAATAGCAACATTAATGAGATGATGGATTTGATGTCACGTGTCACACCACACTACAATTACACAGCCCAATGACCACATATTAAATTTGAAGGGCATTAATTAAGTCAAAATGGTCTACCTGGCAGATTCATTGAGACCCAACCAAATATGCTTAACAAAACCACTCTGTATATAAAGTAACTTATTGCCTGGTATTCATTGCATAAAGATATGATGCAAGGATTGAATAGAAACATGTGAAATCATTTGTTCATTTATTCATTAATATGTTGTCAAATTCAGTTTTCTATACACTATGATGTTTATTCCATTTTTGTACTATTAGGTACACATATTTAAAAAAATATTTAACTTATTTTTTATGAAGAAATTAAATATTTTTCAAAAAAGAATCATTTTATTATTGTTCTCTAGCAACAAACCTGACACAAGTCTCATCCAACTCAATGAATTCATTTAAATAGCTTTGTTCAATGGCAAATTCTCTAAAGATCTAGTTTACAGAATTCTATTCTATATAACACTGTTTTACCCTGTTACATAGTATAAAGAACATTTTTGTAATAATCATGTTTCTCTTTGATATGATACAGAACAATTTTTTCACACTTCCTAACAATCACTCAAATATATTAAAAATGTATCCTTCTTTAAAAGGCACACACATTTACAGGTTCAAATCTTTATTGTTTTAAAATTGTACATGTCTTTTACAATACAATATTTTGTTATTTAAATGACCTCTAAATGGTTAATGTACAATGAATATCTTTTTTCCTGAAACTCAACCATAAATTACGATTTCATCAATATGATTATTCTAAACAGAGTAATAAAGATGTTGGGAAGATCTGAGTACTGCATTTGAAATGGTTAACAACACAGACTCTTCCCTTTAGAACTCAGATGATCAGTCTATTGAAAGTGCTTTTGAAGATTGCTGATTCTTTATGGCTGATCTCAAAATCAGTCAATTAAATTATAGTTCTTTTTTTTTTTAAACATCAAAGGGCATTTAGAAAAATAAATGAAACAATTTGCTTTAGTAATCTACTGAGGCAAACTCAAAATGATTATCTGCATGCAATAACACTCCTCTTTAAATAGTTTTGAAGAATTTATACATTTTATAAAGAATGTGTTAAAGAGTGCAAGTATTCTGATACTGATTTCACAAAAGGACAAATGCTGGTAATAATAACTAACATTTAACATCTAAGTTCAAGCTAATGTATATTTAACAGGCAATTAATATGGCTAATTATAAGCCACAATGTACAGGGTATGCCCTTTGAGAAAATGAACTAGTTTGGTCCACATTTCTAGAGTTATTTTGGTAAAAAAAAAAAAGTCCCAAAACAAAACCATTTTAATTCAGCCAAGGGTTCTAATGAAATTTATTATTCCTAAAATGTAGCCAGTTAAAAAGTAAATGATGTACACCAATGAAGTACATTGTCACATTGACTTTTGTATAAAAAGATGGCCTGCTGTTTTGGTAGTGATGAATGAGCACTGTTGGACAAATCAGGAAAATGTCATAGAACCTATTAATTACTTCCATAAGTTATACTTTCTTATTCCATGACACGGCTTTCACTCTGTAAAACTTTGTCCCCAAAGGAACTTTAAATCTGTTTTGTGCCTAAGAGGGAAAGAAAAAAGGGAATCACTTAAATGATTAAAGCAAATTACGCCAGTACTTACTATCATACTACTCATTGCTACAGTATTTTCGGGGAAGTGGGGACCTTTATCAAAGATCTACCTCTCACCAACTGAGAATATATTATATACTGAGCTACTAATATTGATAGAAGACAAAGTTGATACCCACTGTAAAGAATATAGTACAAAGTGGGCCATTTCATTAAGTATCAAAGAAACCTCAATTCTATAAAATTTAAGATCGTTTAGTGTTTTGAAGCACTGAGGCCTCAAATTACAATGAGTCAGGAAGAATGCTCAGTAGATTTTACTGATTCTATACCACTGATATTGCTGATATTACAATCAGGCCCATTTTTAAGCCACCAAGTACTTTACACTATCTTTCTTCAGTGGGGGTACAGGATGAAAATAAGAAAACATCAATTCTACCTACAAACAGAATTCACTTTTGTTGCCAGGTATGCAGCATTCTTTTTTTGCACATAAGTTACACTAGTAACTTAATAGTCATAAAGCAGAAACTTTGCAGTTGTTTTCCTGTATAGGTCGATGGATTGTTAGTCATCTACCTATACTATCTAAAGACAAATAACACAAATACTAATAAAATTGCCGGTTCAAACTCACTCTCATTAAATTCAAGCTCTAACTCAAGTGAGCTAAAAGCCCAAGAACAGCACTAGTAATGATTTCTATATAAAGAGTATGAGAATCTTCTTTATAATTCCTAGGTTTATATCATATGTTACAGTTTTTACCTTTTTGGCTTGACAGTATTCCTTTTCCATTACTTTTCCAAGTACCCAGGGTCTTCTAGATACACCTGAAGCTAATGAATCAAACTGTTAATTTCTTTTCTGAAAGTACAGTTATAATTACATATGAAAACATAACTGCCGGAATCAAAACAGACTAAGTTCTCATGAGTGAAAGAATGTCTTCAAACTGCTGACATCACTGAAATGCTTAACGATTTATATAAAAAAACTGAAGTCATGGTACTTTTCAACCAGTATTATATGGCTTTTATTACTCATTAACTAAATGTACATGGTACATCAAATCACAGAACTAACATAGTTCAGAAAATACTACTAATGTAAGTATAAATCATAAACAAATACATCTAGGAATTTTGGGCTAACTCAACAGTGCCATCTACTGAAACAGCTAACAAAGATGACATTTTCCATTTCTGAAAGCAGACAAAATACATTTTCTAGGTTCAAAGCAAAGAACTGATTTTTGAGGGGCAGTGCATTTAATACAATTCCTCAAAAGCAAGAACTGCACTTTCCTCACATCTGTATGCCACGGTGCCCGGCACAGCAGTGTGAACACAATTGGTGCTCAATAAATGAAAAAATAATAAATTTCTCTAGTTAATAATCAAAGAAAGTCTAGAAGGGTAGTACTTGCGTGAAGGGGAGATGAAAAATGTGGGAGGAGACCGAATGAGAAGGCTAGTCCTCATACCCCCAAAGTATGACAAGCTAAGAGGTAAACTCTCAATCCTTTTAATTTCATCAGAAAAGTTGTCATAATAAGGTTGATTTCAAAAGTATTCAGCCAATAAACTACAGATGCTCCTCAATTTACGACGGGGATATGTCCCTGATAAATCCATCGTAAGTTGAAAATATATTAAGTTGAAAATGCATTTAATACACCTAACCTACCGAACATTACAGCTTAACCTTGCCTGCCTAGAACATGCTCAGAACACTTATATTACCCTACAGTTGGGCAAATCATCTAACACAAAGCCTATTTTATAATGAAGTGTTGAATATTTCATGGAATTTACTGAATACCGTACTGAAAGTGAAAAACAGAATGACTGTATGGGTACTTGAATTATGGTTTCTAACGAATGTGTATTGCTTTTACACCATAATGATGTCAAAAAA